GGGTTAGAGTTTTAGGGTTTGGGGTACTGCACCGGTCCCGTAATAGCTTGTATTCGGGCCAATATTGAGAGTTAATGTAATATAGCACAAAATAATGAAGTATAGTATCATATATTATGGCATAATGTAGTATAACATCGTATAATAATATCTAGTAAAATATTATCTAGGATTCTAATGAAATATCCAAACGGTTATTCGAGTGGGGGGACAGTATCCAACCCCCATCGCGAAAAAACACAAGGCGCAGACTGAAACCCTGAGCTGAACCCAAGCGTACGCCTTGAAGCAGACCCGCGGTTTAGGGTTTAGGGTTTGAAGCCCACATTGGAATCTTTTAGCCCTAACCCCTAAGCACTGAAGTAGTTTCCATTTTCTTTTCAACTATCCCAATATAACCCCAATATATACCTAATCATACTATAGTAGTTTCCATTTTCTTTTCCATTATCCCTAAGCCCCAAATTGAAGCCCCCAAACCCAAAACCCACATTGAAATCCCTTAGCCCTAACCCCTAAAACCTTAAAGTCTTAACCCAAAATCGAGACCCCTAAGCCCTAACCCTGGACCCTAAACCCTAAACCCCTAAACCAAGCCTGAAAAGGCCACACCTGCCGAATGCAAAGAAGCTTTTGATCAAGCCCCGGGTCTGCAGGGTCAGGCATTGTCTCTAACCCTTACCCATGATTAATAAACCCTCTCCCCTTAATAGGGATTATAATGGGGATCCTAATATTAAGGCCCTTAAAAGGAGGGGGTTTATTAATCATGGGTCTACATTAGGGCTTAAGGTGGGTATGGGGCTTAGGGTTTAGGGTTTAGGGTGGGTTTGGGGGTTAGGGTTTAAGGTATAGGGTTTAGGGCTTAGGGTGGGTTTGGGGTTTAGGGTGTAAGGTATAGGGTTTAGGGCTTAGGGTGGGTTTGGGGTTTAGGGTTTGGGGTGGGTTTGGGGCTTAGGGTTCAGCGTAATGTTTATCTAATTGCAACTGTTGTTGGAACATTATTACCTCAAAGGAAGAATCCAAATAATAGGACCCAAATAATAGGGTTTTGGGGGGGCCAAATACCGTTGTTATTATAGTATTTGGGCGCAAAAACTCTACTATCTGGGTCCTTGACCCTTAGGGGAAGCCAATAAACAATGTGCATTCATAGCTTTTTCGTGACCCTAAACCCTTAACCCCAGCCCCCGAAACTGCACAATTATCCCAACCCTACACCCTCAAGCTCCGCTACTAAACCCTAAGGGCACCAACCACTAAGCCCCAAGGTGCTCCCTCAATGGGCCTTTTCTGCTTAATCAGATGCGGGGGCGGCAGGGGAATCCATGAGTTTAGGTCTAGGACCTATTGGGGTTTAGGGTTTGGGGAGCTGTTCAATGTTTGACCTTCGCCTCTGGTTTTGAGTATCTAGATCTTTCCTTCTGCCAAACGAACGTCGAAGCCTATCAAATGGATGGCAGTTCTTGTTAGCTCGAGGGTAGGGGTCTCAGGGCTTATCAATTTTGATTTGCTTCTCTTGAGTGTCCTTATATCGAGGACTCTTGGGTTTGGTGCTGCAAAGGTCTTCGAACAGAGTTTGTGATTCTTCTCGCCTATAATAGGACGCGCAGCCCTGCGTGAATCGGCGTGAATGGGTCCCGTGGTACATGAGTGCGCCAATACGGCGCCGTCTATGGAAAAATGTGAGAACGAAACAAAGCAACAACAAACAACAACATCGTTGTGTCATGCGCTGTCTTGTCGTTGTTTGAAAGGCAATGTGCAGTTCTGTTGTAATTGTGACTCAAAATATGTACTTGTGTAGCACTGGTCTCAAGACCCGAACAGATCATATGCTCAAAGCCCCAA